CCTTTAGCTGGGCCTGCCTCATAAGCCCAGCTCACTGCTGGTGCTTGTGCCATTGCGGGCTGGGTCAAGAGCAAGCTATTATATTAATTATACATTAATATTATTAATCGAATGCGGCTTCCAGCTATGCATTCTGATCACTTGACGTCACTGAATAATTAGCTTTCTTAATTAGTTTCGAACCCTCTATCGGAATAATACACTTGTTCGAAAAACACCATTCCTTTCAATCTCCCACTTGTTCTTCCGGACAAGTGTGCTATTTGTGTATAGCCTATTTTCCTATCTCACTTAATTCTTCTTCACGAACTATAAGGTAAGATTCTTCGTCATCCTTATTACTTCCAGAAGTGTTTCTCGATTTCCAAGTCCGACTGTCAATAAGTAGATGATTTATAAAATCCATCTGAGCATGGCCATGAATTTTGACAGTCTTGCTCTTCGAGAGGCCTTGTAAACAACAATGACATATTCCCAACTGTTAATAGGGGGATATTCCTAGTCTTGCATTGTTAACTTCCCTTATTAAGAGGCGCTTTCCAGGATGATTCATTTTTGTTGATTGTTAATGTTTAGATTAATTTTCTATTTATTCATTTAATGCTATGCAATTAGATTTGGCCTGGTTTAATTGTATGAGTTACACAATATTTATTCGAGAGTCGACGGATGAGAATTGATGTTAAGGCTTAGTTTCAATAGGCATGTTAATTTATAAATGATTAAGTCAAGATTCGAGAAATGCGATTTAATATCGCTAGATTAATTATGTGATTGTAATATGTAGCGAAAACCCTTTATAATCTGGTTAATTATTTATGCATTGATAATTGATTGTCGTCTTTCATCCCATAATATTATCTATTGGTGAACCTATGCCCTAGGCTTTATTTTATTGATATTCTCTTAGTTTTAATTGCTTAGTTTAATTATATCTCTCAGTTTAATTCACATAAAATCGCACTGATTACTTGGTAATTTAGATTATAACCATTTATTAATAATAAACGAACACTGTTTCCCTATGGATTCGACCCTACTTCCCTATCTATATTAGTTCGAGGAGTTTAGGAAACACTTTTGATTAGGTGATACAACTAGATCTTGTGAGGGTCTGGTGGTGGGTGGTTGTTTTCTTTTAATTAATATATTTTTTAAGAAATGTGGGAATTAGAGATAAATAAAAAGGAAAAAAAATTACCTACTAATATTTCTATAGCAGGTCACCGGTAATAAAACGCATTTAAAGTGGAGGAGTAACAAAGGTCGACTTATTTTAAGTTAATCGAAAGCTTAACTTGTTTTGAGAAGACCGAATAGAGGTTGACTTATTTCTGACAAATTTTCCTTTAAATAATAATTCAATAATTTCTTTTGATAAATCATCAATTAATTAAAATACTTGAAAATTAATCACATAAAAATAACTTTTCAAAAAATCAGTAATTCTTCCTTTCAAGATTAAAACTTTTTATTTAATACAAAACATGATATTCAAATTGATTCCTCAAAGCATGATAAATAATTAAAACCATTCAAAACATTATATTTAAATCAATTCATCAAAGATATTTAATTATATTCATAAAAAATGATATTGAAACCACAATTCAAAACATTCATTTACATCCAATTTCACATAAACATATTGATCAATTCAAAGCACTTTAATAAAGCATCTAGACACCTAAAATGTACCTTGATCCCTCGCTTAGAAAACACACAAAGAACTCAAGCACCCTTATCAAGAACACCTTACAAATAAATATAACCTTAATTAATATAATGTCATCAAATAATCACAACAATTAAAATAAACTCCCAATTCTATGTACATGAATCATTAAAATTCATTTTAATAAACTTTGATTAATTTTCTAATTTTATTTAATTAAGGACTATTTATAATTATATATAAAACCATAATAATAATAATAATAATAATAATAATAATAATAACAATAATAATAATAATAATAATAATAATAATAATAATAATAAGAATAAGAATAAGAATAAGAATAAGAATAAGAATAATAATAATAATAATAATAATAATAATAATAATAATAAATAATAATCATAATAATAATAATAATAATAATAATAATAATTATTATAATAATAATTAATTAATTAAGAGAAGAGAGAAATTGAAAACCAAAAAGAAGAAGAGAGAAGGAGGGACGAATTGTGGCTGCTGGTCGATAGTGGCTGCTGGTCAATGTTGGCTGACAATGGAGGTGGAAAACGGTGGTGGTAGGTGGTGGTGGCGCAACAAAGCCGAGAGAAAAAGGAAGAAAACCGTGGGAAATAAGGGGATCGGAAAAAAGAGAGGTTATGAGGTTTATTTTTGAGTGAGTTTTTGCATTAGTTTGAAGGGGTATCTATAGGCTCATGAATGTAGGAATGAGACGATATTTTGTAGGAAGAATTTAAGTAATTTTGGTTTATGAAATTATTTGGAAAAGAGAGCTAAAAGTTTAGGAAAGAACAGTTTTTGGTGATCAGATAAATAAGGAATTATGGTAAGTTGTTGATTATGAAATAAAAGATGGTAATTATGCTTGCTTGAAGGATAATCAAAAGGCAACATAAGGCAAGATAATTCATGGTCATATATTTGTAAGATTGGAATAAGAAAATTTAGGAAAATAAGAAGATTTAAGGAAGGTAATTAAATTACAAAAATTAACAAATAATTAGTCTTTTCCAAAAAATAACAAATAATTAAATTTCGGACGTCTTATGCTAATCAAGACCAATTTTTGTTAGTTTTAAAGATCCAAAAATTATTATGTAAACAATTCATTTTGTAGAAAATAATTAATTAGAAAGTCTTTACTTTAAACTAACCTTATTAACTTAGAAAATCCGATTTAGGAAATTTAGCCCCCTAATTAATAAAATAGGAAATATAATTTTGCTAATTAAAATATCCGAAATGTGTACATAATTCAGTTTTTATAAAAATATTTAATGGATAATTAATCTTATCCAAAATCCAAAATAATAATTGAGTTTAAAAATATTTCATTACAACTTATTACATCCATCCTCAAATCTTGTTGAAAAAAGTTGTTATTCATTCAATTCCTCTTTTTCTCAAACATATGCAAACCTCAATAGGATTATCATCATGCCAACTGCTTTCTTCAATCCAATTTTTTTTATTGCCATTTTGACTTCCCCCTTTTGAACCCTTCGCATAAACTCCTGATTAATCATGTCATGAGGGACACTTGTATCACCAATATCTTGGGTTCGATCTCCGTTGAATAGCTTATCAAATTAAGACCTTCATCCATCATGTATCTCCTTGTCTCCACAAAAATGTTTTGGTCAATATCCTTCACACACTTGACTTTTCCAATTTCTTGCGTCTTTCAATCTCTACAACGAGCAAGTCTAAAATGAATATTTTCCCTTCCTTCGTATCGAAGCTTTAATAAAGGTTTCGATTCACCTTTGCTCTCACATCTCGTACATTCGTCTTTGTTTTTCTTCTAGCTTCTTTATACTTATTAGAATTCTCATCACTCCTGCATTTTCCCAAAATTTTATAACATTGCTCTTTATCGCTTGTCGCGCTTCTTCATTCCCTATAGATTTCACTCGATGGACCATACATTTTGAAATGACTTTGTACAAAGTGTTATAGAGCGCAGCCAATTGGCCTGAATTGCTGGCAAGTATTTGCATTCTCCTCCTTAGGGATAAGACAGATAAAACTATTGTGCTAATAACGACCATAAAAGGAATAGAAAATGATAAAATATTTTAGTGGGTTTAAAGGAAGAAAGAGAAATAATAAAATATTCCTTTCCTTAAAAATTCCTTTCCTTATTCCAAGCCTCGGTATTCTGGGAAGGAGAATGTTTATGAAATAGCTTCGGTCACTCCTTCAGCCCTTCGGTCTAAAACTGTTGAGAGTGATAGCAACTCGGATTCCTTGAGTGTGCAACATCATGAATCCGAGCAATGTCCCAGGGTGTCTGGAAACTCGAATCCCCCCATCATACAACACCTTCATTCACTACAACACGGAGGGTCCGACGATGGTAACCAGCCATCCCCTGGTAAATATAGTGCATTTTCAAGTGAATTCGTACCTGCCACGTTTATGATTCCGTTCAAGACGGTGGGTCCTCTGAGAGCGTTGATGGAAGCGTATCTATCTCTTCTGCCTAACGTTCCCTTGAACATTTATGATCGATATCCTCAATTTCCTATTTTTAATATGTCTATCAAAATATTGGTTTGGAATGTGCAAGGAGTTGGTAATAAAGTGTCGGTCATGAAGGAGTTGATTCGTATCAATAATATTACTGTTCTTGCCCTGATGGAAACTTATATTAGCGGGGCTCAAGCTCAAAGTGTTTATGATAGAATTGGTTTTTCGGGTCAAATGAGGGTGAAGGCTCAAGGTTTTGTTGGTGGAATTTGGCCTTTCTGGAGGGCATAGGTGGTAGCTGTAACATAATATGGTAGCCATTCTCAACATCTTACTGTAGAAATAAAGAAAATTGGGGGAGACCCATGGTTGTTCTCTGCTGTGTATGCAAGCCCAGATTCTGCAATTCGGAAACAATTATGAGAGGCTTTAGAACAAATTAAAAACAACTATAATGGGCCATGGTTAATGGCTGGAGACTTTAATGAGACAGGTAGTATGAGAGAAAGGAATGGTGTGGGTAGCTCGGAGATGGTGCGTTGTTGTAAAAATTTTGCTGAATGGATAGCCACCAACAAGCTTATTGATTTAGGTTGTTCGGGCCCGGAGCATACATGATTTAGAGGTAATAGCTCTGCAACTTTTTAATCTACTAGATTGGATCAAGGTTTGGTAAATGTTGATTGGAGGGCTCGATTTGATGAGGGAGCTCTTATGAATTTGCCAAAAGCTAAGAGTGATCACTGCCCTATTTTGATTAGTACGAACGGATTTGCTCATATTCCTACGTACTCCTATCAAGCCTTTTTGATTTCAAGCTGTGTGGATGAGTCATGAGAAATTTGATGAAATTATTAGAGCTAAGTGGGATAACAATGCGCCGCTTATTCCATTTCTCAAGCAATTTGGGGATTTTCTATCGGGTTGGAACAGAGAAGTATTTCACAACATATTTCGAAAGAAGTCCAAATTGTGGGCAAGGCTTGAAGGAATTCAAAAAAAGCTTGCTTTGCGGAGGGATCGACATCTTATTAAACTTGAGGCTTCCCTGCATCGTGAAATGGATGATGTGCTCAATCAAGAGGAGATGTTATGGTTCCAAAAATCAAGTGTTGAGGCTATACCTGATGGTGATAGAAACACGAGATATTTTCATTTGTCAACCATTATGAGGAGAAGAAGGAATCGTATTGAAACTTTGCAAGACGGTGATGGAAATTGGATTCAATGCCCTAACCGCGTGAAATCTATGGTAGTGAATTTTTTTGGTGATTTATTTTAAGAAGAACCTGCTCCATTTATAGGGGAAAAGTTGCTGCTTGATTAGTTTCCCTATATTGAGGCTGGGGATTTGAGTGTTATTTCACGCCCTTTTGCAGATTGTGAAATTAAGAGGGTTCTTATGGGGATGAAACCAGTCAAGGCACCTGGGCCTGACAGTATTCAGCCCCTCTTTTATCAACAATATTGGGACTTGGTGACACCGGGTGTGATTAACCTAGTCAAGGATGTGTTGGAGGACAGAGCTTTTCTTAAGGGGTTGAATGATGAGTACTTGGTACTTATTCCGAAGATTGAAACCCCGTAAAAGCCGAATCAATTCTGTCCTATTGGATTATGCAACATCACTTATAAAATTGTGACTAAGGTGATTATTAATAGGTTGAAGCCTCTTCTTCCGACTCTTATTTCCCCCACTCAATGTAGCTTTGTTCCGCAGAGGCAAATTACGGACAATATTATTATTGTTCAAGAGATGCTACATATTGTGAGGCACAAGCAAGGCAAGATTGGTTTGATGGCTATGAAAATCGACTTCGAGAAAGCCTATGATAGGCTATGTAGGTCATTTATTAGAGAATCTCTTCTAGAACTTCGTCTCCCTCAAGCTATGGTAGATGTAGTGATGAATTGTGTGTCTTCAGCTAAGCTCCAAATTTTGTGGAATGGTGAGCCAACGAGAAGTTTTACCCCTAGTCAAGGCATTAGGCAAGAGGATCCATTATCCCCTTACCTATATGTTATTTGTATGGAACGGCTTGCGTATTTAATTGAGCATGAAGTGAAACTGGTTGCTTGGAAGGCAGCGAGGGCTAGTAGAAGAGGACCTGATATTTCGCATCTCGCTTTCGCCGACGATTTAATTTTATTTTGTGAGGCCTCAGTTGAGCAAGCAATGTGTATGAAAAGGTGCCTTGATAAGTTCTGCGCTGCATCTTCTTTTTAAATAATACTAACCATGAAGTTCGAGCAGCTATTTGTGATGAGCTGAATATGACTGTCACTGATGATCTGGGGAGGTATTTAGGGGTCCCAACTATCAATAGTAGAACCACAAAACAAGATTATTAATATCTTGTTGAAAAGATTGATGCTAAGTTGAGAAAATGGAGATCGAAAATGCTTTCATTGGCTGGGAGAAATACTCTAGCCCAAGCATGTTTATCCTCAATTCCATATTATACAATGCAATCGGCTAAGGTCCCAAGGTCTATTTGTGATGAGATTGACAAAAAGACTAGGCGTTTCTTGTGGGGTGGAGATGATGAACATCGCAAAATCCATCTTGTGGCATGGGAAACAGTAACTAAGCCGAGAGGTGAGGGAGGACTTGGATTGTGGTCTATGAGGCAAGCTAATGCAGCCTTCTTGGCTAAGTTAGGTTGGAGAGTTTTAGCGGAGGCCGAATCATTGTGGTCTAGAGTGCTTCGCAACAAATATTGTGAAGGTCAATGTGACACTGATATGTTAAAAAGAAGAACGATACATCGAATGCTTGGAAAGGCATTGTGGAAAATATCGATGTGCTTACGAGGGGTTTGAATAAGGCTGTGGGGAATGAAGAGTGTACTCTTTATTGGAAGCATCAATGGGTGCTGAAGAAACCCCTTCTAGATATAGCTGACCCTACCCCTCCATTGGCTACGCAAGAAATACTGATGAAGGATTTTTGAGACCAGAATACAGGATGGAAGTTTGATCTTTTGCGGATTTCTTAGATGCTGAGATACTTGAAGCTATTGTTGTGCATGATTTATTTGATGATGAGGATGCGATTGATGAGATTTATTGGAATGGTTCACCCACGGATGCTTTCACTATTAATTCAGCCATCAAAATTATGCGTAAAAGTGAAGAGGTGAGTGCTGAACAAATTCAAATTTGGCGCAGCATTTGGAAGGCTAGAGTGCCACAGAAAATAAGAATGTTCTTATGGCTTGCGGTGTGAGATCGTTTAATGACAAACTCGAATAGGTTTATTAGAAAGCTGACTAATGACCCTCGTTGCACTTGTGGGGCTGCTGAGGAAAACCTTGAGCATATACTTTGATACTACTCAACTGCAATTAGGATTTGGTGTAAGCTAGGATGGAATGATATTGAGGTAAGGAATTCTATGCCTTGCCATGAATAGATTGTGCAGAATATTACCCCCCAACACTCGATTGCTGCTGAATTTCGCTCGACTATTTTTGCTGTGTGTTGTTGGTGGTTATGGAGGTGGAGAAACGAAAGAGTTTTTGCTAGGGAGGCTAATCTTCCTCTTGACCAAGCAACTTTTATCAAAGCTAGAGTTGAAGATATAAATCAAGCTATTAGTAACTCCCTAATCTTTGATGATGAAATGGATAAGAAAAGGGAGGAAGTCTTCATTAGATGGGAAGTGCCAAGAATTGGTTGGGTGAAACTTAACAATGATGGGGCTTCAAAAGGCAACCCAGGTCAAGCTGGTGTTGTTGGCCTGATTCGTGGAAGTGGCGGTGAGTTTTATGAAATTATTGCTTCTAATTGTAGAGTATGCTCAAACACAAAAGCTAAACTGCTAGGAGTTCTCCATGGACTTGCGCTTGCCTGGAATAGTGGCCATAGAAAGCTCTTGGTCTCTATTGATTTTGAGTGTGTTGTTAGGATGTTGGTGGAGCAATGCCCACCTCATTCCCCTTATATTCACATGGTTTTGAAAGTGTAAAGCCATCATTTTGCGTCAAGGGTGGGAAGTGTGTATCAACCACTACTAATGGAAGCTAATCGGACCGCGGATTGGTTAGCTAACTTTGGAGTTCACTCGAGCCAAAAGTGGTGATTTTTGAAGCAATCCTGAGGGATCTTCAGGCCGTTTTATTGGAGGACCTTAGTGGAGTGGCGCTAGCTTGACTTGTTCCTAGGAAGAAGGACTAGTTTGTGTTAGTTTTGTTTTTCTTTTTGCTTTTGCTTTTGTTTTTGTTGTTTGTTTTTCTCTATTTCTTCTTTGTTTGTTGCGTTTGTTCGGGGTTTCCCCTCTCGTTCACCAAAAAAAAAAAAAAAATGGTATTCTCTTTGTTTTTTTGAATTTCAACACTTTCTTAAATGGAATATTTCACACATTTAATAATTCTCCTCTCACGTCCATTATTTTTACATAAACTATTCATCCACTATTTTTTTTTTTTTATCAATTGCTATTTCCCCAAATAGTTGCACAATATTTTTACAAATTCAACTAAACAACATAAATTTCGTGCTAGTCAAAGTGTTGCAATAAAAAAAATAATAATAAAAATAAAAATAAAAACAAACAAATGGGGTATAAAGTTACCAAATATAGGAAAGATGTATTATATAACAACATATTTTATGATATTGATATAAAGTTTCATTATATAACTATTTTTTTTTTAATTTTCATTTATATTTACTTTTGTAAAAATAAAGTCAAATTAGTGCATCGACATGTGCGTAAAGTTATCTCTTTTGACAATTATTTTTCTTTGTGAGCACATGAAATTTGAGGTTTAAAGCTCAAAATTGTATTAAGCTCAAAACTTGGAGCAATGAATTTTCATAGCATATCCAAGCAGCGTATACAAAACTTGTTCATTATCTTTGCTACCATACTATATGGTTCCGGAACTAGAGCAGAAGTTAAGCTGTTCCAGAAATGAAAAGTATATGACTCATTGAGGATCTTTCTAAGCAGAGCATGCTGATGAGCGTTTTCATCATCCGTCACTGGAGTGATGAAGTATCTGTAAAGAAGAAAAGTAGTTTCAGAAAGATGACACAAAGAACACCGCAGAAAATCAAAACATAATCATCTATATTCGAAGTAAAGATGTAGAAGTAACAAGATCCTAAAAATATTTGCATAGCATAGCTGCATAAGTGTGTAATGAAATGGGATGTTAAAGATAAATATAAAGAATCAATGATCAGATATATCTGATTCAATCCCTCGTGATTTTGAATGGCTTGACAAACCTAAAACAACACAAAGAATGGCCTGAACAAACTTGGAACAAATTAATGATAATTACTACGTATATGTTAAAATGTGAAAACTGTCCAGCTGGCAGCCACGACAAGGACACCGGCATAGTCACATGGTTCCTTTCCAGCATAGCAAGAACTTTTAAGCCATCTCCCATGGGCACAATATTACCACCGTTGGGTTGTATAGAAAACCACAGCCGATGTTAACTACAAGCTGGGATGTTAAATCCATGGACAACGAAGCAAATATATAGCCCAATATCTTCTTAATGATTAAGTTTTCCAAACTAATATTTAAGCCTTCAGCTTTAGTAATCATCATTTGGGTTCGTTCTTTGTTTGTGGCTCCCTTATAAGTAGCAAATTTGTTTGAGGATATAAATAACTTATAAGGAATATATGAAAATTGAGTTCTTCTTTATTAAGCCCTTTACAAACCTTTCCTACATCAATAAAAAAATTTCATAAATCTTAATTATCAAATAGGTGATTTTATAATTCTTTGAGATGAATCCCGTTTGATAAGAATCATTTTAGTTCATGTGGGATTAGAGAAGTTCAAACATTGTCTCCATCGTTCTAATCTTGGTGTTTGAATCTTGAGACTTAGCTTTTAATTTAAGAAAGTTTGTTTTACACATCAAGTTCCTTACACAACCTGAAATACATAACCATTAAAGATTTGAGCACAAAAAATTTGAGTCTTATACAAGATTTGTGACATTCCTTAATTATGGATTAGCGTGTGCTTCTTAGCTTAGATTATAAGTTGATAAAGCTAGTGTCAGTGATTTACTACATTGTCATAAGAAACATCATGCTTTAAGATCCATCATGCTTTCAAAGAAGCAAAAGGAACTACTGAACAGGTTGAAAGGCAGAGACATACAACTCGTACCTTTTATTTCTGACTTTCGTAGCTATAATTACTTTTATATTAGGAATATTTGATTTAAATAATCTAGCCTTTGTCCGATTTATATTTAATAATCCGACCTTTTGATAATTTCACAATAATCCAAGCTTTATACTCCATTTTTTTCTACTACCCTACAACAATAGGTAACCTTGCCACGTGTTGTGTTTTGATTTGTCTAAATATTTTTTTTTTTTTTTACTTTACAAAAATTGAAAAAAATTTCCCCTTCCTCCGTTAAACCCGACCACCTTCAACTTCTCCTCTCTTTCCGGCCACCCTCCCTTGAAACCATATTCTCTCTCCTCCCACCCTCCCTTGAAACCATATTCTCTCTCCTCCCACCCTCCATTCTCTCCTTCCTCTACTCATCTCATTCAACTCTCTTAAACCCCTGAAACTAGCAAGCTACCAAGAAACCCAAATCAAGGCAAAAGCAAGTAATAGTTATTGAAACCAAGAATTCAATCCCAGAAAAATGGAATTCAATTGTGGAAGAAATCAATTTGACCAAGAAAGAAAGCAAAGGCAGGAGAGATGGTGAAAGTTGGGGTTGCTGTGAGGGAGATGCAGGCTATTTGAGCTAATGTTGGGGCTCGCCGATGGTGGGGTTTACGGGGGTTTTAGGATGGAGGTGGTTGCGGGTGGGGACAGGGTTCGATTCAGAGATACAACTATGGGTTTTGGGTTGGGCTTTCAAAGTGGGATTTCAGGGTGGAGGGATCGGTCCAGTGGAGTGGGGCTGGGCTGCAGGGAAGGGGGTGTGGGTGGGTGGGTGGGGCTACCGGGGAAGGGGAATGCAAAGTAGCGTAGGGGTTGAGGATGGTGGCTGGGAGAAGGAGAGAGAAAGGGGTTGTCTTTTCCTTTATTTAAATTTTGTTAAATTGAAAAAAAAAAAAAAAAAAATTACCTAAAGGACAGGTAAATTGGTCATTTTGGCCCAATAGAAAAGAATGAGGTATATAGCTTGGATTATTGTGGAATAATTAAAAGGTCGATTTATTAAAAATAAATCGAGCAAAAGTTGGATTATTTAAATCAAATTTTCCTTTATATTAATTAATTAATTGTATAAGCTAGGGTTAGGTCTTGAGAGGAGTACCTATAACATACTCGTAATACTTATCATTGTGTATATGGGAAAGAAAAAAAAAAAAAAAAAAAAAAAAAAAAAAAAAAAAAAAAAAAAAAATTCAGGTTTGTATACATGAAAATCAGGTACGAATTCTACATGTAGGCCTGCCTGAGAGTGAGAAATAAAACGGCTATTTAGAGAAGATTAATTTTGTGATATACCTCTGAATATCATGTGAACTAATAGGAAAGAAGTTCGATGCTAACTGCACTTGCAGCATCTGCTTTTTCTTCAAATTATCTGCTTTGAGAGAGAATTTTCCAGCCACTCTAGTTAATAAATCAGCACCATTCCATCTCAACAAGGTGTCATCATATGAGGAAAAGAACTCCAACATGCATTGCCTGATAAATAAACTGCATAGCAAACAAGATACAGGATTAAACGAAGAAATTTGGAGAGAGAGAGGGGGGGGGGGGGGAGGGTGGAGGTGTATTCCAAACACAAGTAAAGAAGAAATAGGTGATTGCTCTAAGTCCAAAACAATAATCATGTATGTTAGGCAATACAGCCATGAAGACAAGGCAAGAGCATCATGTCTGCAAATGCACACAAAAGATATTTGGTCTCACATGGATATTAACCCGTTTATGTATAATGCAATGTTGTATAAAGAAATTGAATTATTAACATAATGTTGGGGGTGATGATCCCTAGGAAGATGAAATGATGGCAATAATACCTCTATCCCTCCTCTCTTGCACCATCAATACTTTTTAACTCTACCACCACCACCACCAATCTCGATTCCACATATACGCCCTCGATATTATTATTCCAATTCATGCCCTATGATGACCAATCATCAAAGCCGCAGGTAAAATTTATAAACAAAACCCCACTCTATGTCTTGGTATAATGTAAAAGGATGACCAAAACTATGGAGGATTCACCAATTACTTTCAGCTGTATACTGTAGACGAAAGCACAAATGATACATCCTTATCCTCACTATCAAAAGATGAGGAGGTAATAACTAATCAGAGAGAGATCGAAAGGTTTCAACACATCTGCTAAAATAGGGACATTGTAATTAAAGATGACCATAGATTGCTGCATCTTAAAGCATCACAGTACACAAAAAATTGAAAGTTAGCCATAACTGGTCTTTGTTTATGTTGCTTCAAAAATTTTAATAGTGGCTTGTTACTGATATTTACATTATACAAGTCACGCCCAACTTTTTCTCCTAAGACCTTCCATTTCAATATTATGTTTTTTGTCTTTAACAAAGGAATGATATCCTTATTAGCACTTATACACTTTTCTGTATACTGACACTATAAATAAGAAATCTGCGAACAATCAATTGAGTGGTGTACTGGAGTTAGTTGTCCCAACAGCATTGCTGTAATATGTCTGTTGTCTCCAGATAGGTCTTACCAAAAATTTAAGTGAGAGAGATTGAGACATAAAAAAAAAAAGTAAATACTTGAGCAGGAGAATTAAGGGAGCTTTAGCTTGAGAGCAGATGAAGAAGAAGAGGAGAACGAGGCACACATCAAGCAGAGAAAAATGCAGATGAAAATTACATGTCATTCTGCTATCATATACTGACAAACTAGTTATCTCTCTCTCTATTTTTTTTTTATTTGAAAAAAGCTAATAATCAATCAAAAGTATCTATAGATTGTTACCTTTCCTAACATACATGGAAACCAAACTCACATAAGAAAGTACTCATATACTGAAGACTGAAAAAATCAAAACACGTCTATGTATTTTATCTAAAGTAAGCTGTAAGATCATCCTCAAGGTCCAATATGTCTCTTCCTTCAATAGTTGAAATAAGAGTCTAGAGCAGCAAAGCTTATGCTAACGTAAAAATAAACCTAAAATAAAAAGAACGAAGCGAAAGAAGAGGGGGGGGGGGTGATACGGGTCTATGAGAGGAGGAAGAAACATTAGCAGGGCAAAAGCAGAGAACAAGATCAGCCAACAATATACAAGCAAGGAACAGGACAAGATCGTTTAATGCACCACTAGGGAGTGTGGTGACTGCTCTGAAATTCTGAAGGCCACCACAGCAGTACATGACAAATATTATTAATTATTAGGGTACTTTTGTAATGGAGGCTGCTTGGTATATAAATCATCAGCAATAGAACTGTAGGTGTTATGTGATTTGTGAGAAGATTGTAGTGTAAAAGTAGTGTATTTCTCTCTAGTAAAATTGTAGCCCTAAGCATATCATCTTGTAGCCGTTAGCTTCCACTTTCATCAATCAAATATCCAAGCTTTCTCCTATTTTCTTTATTGCTTCATTGAAAATCTTGCACTGAGAATCCTGGTCTATAGTAACTTGGTATCAGAGGATCGATCATGGTGACCACTCTCACGCAACGGGTAGACGCCGTCGAGGAGCGACTCAAAGGGGGGAGAGAGCGTTGTAGTCCGCACAAAACCACCAAGAACCGTCTTTGACGGGACTAGAGAACGGGCTCACCGAGGGCTTAATGATCCCGACCTCTAACATTTCCTGAATTAACTTCTCTATCTCGTCCTTTTAAGCATGAGCATACCGATATGGTCTCACGCTAATGGGGTTACTACCCTCTTTAAGCACTATGGAATGCTCATGACCTCTCTTCGGTGGCAATCCTTGCAGCATGTGAAACACAACTTCATATTCCTCCAAAAGGCCCTTCAAAAATTCTGGTGGTTGGCCCACTTCTACAAGCCCACCTTCATTTTCTACTTGATTGATTTCCACCAGAACACCACTCTTTTGCTTGCTTAAAGTCCTAATCATGGACTTGAGTGACACTTGGGCTTTTTTCTGAGGGGTCCCCTTTGAGTATGACTTGGGTTCCCGTCACCTCAAACCGCATCTCGTGGGTTCTCCAATTTGTAGTAACCGCTCCTAACTTCTCCAACCATTGAACACCAAGTATTACATCCGCATTACCGAGCCCGAGGGGTAGGGAAATCACCCTGAAGTGTTACTCCTCCATCTAATTTCACTTTTACTCCTTGACACACCCCCTTCCCTTTTACCGTATCTCCATTTCCAAGTGACACCCCAAACTCACCTCCTTCCGTTACAAGGTACTCTAGCTTCCCTCACCACCATGGTGGAGATAAAATTGTGAGTAGCACCGGGATCCACCATCACCACTACCCTTTTTCCTCGAACTTCCCCTCTCAATTTCGTTGTTCACGGGCCGACAACCCGACCACCGCATAGAGATACCCCTACCGGTGTCTATCTCTTCCCTCACTCCCTCAAGCTCGTCCCCCTTGTCCTCCTCATCTCCATCACCCCCCGCTGCAATCAACACACTCAAACTCCTTCCTCTTGCAACGATGCCCCACTCCCCACCGTTCATCACATCGGAAACATAAGCCCTTAGCTCGTTTTTCTTGAAGCTCGGCTTCCGTTAGCCTTGTAGTTTCCCCCACGCTCCTGCAAGATGAAGTTGGGTTCCCTTTGCCAACATTGATGGGCCCTTGTGATTCTGGAGCTTTGGGCAATACTTTGCTTGGGCTGCTAGAGTTGGGCTGGGTGGAACTCCAAGCATTTGTATAAGTCCAACACTCCCACCTTTTTGGGTAGAAATTGTGGATCCAACAATATTCAAAGCTGGCCCACTTCGATTTAGCCCAGACCCGTTTCTTCTGAATTGCCTGATTCGGTTCCTCTCTTCGACCCGACCGCCAGGCTCATGGCCTGTTCCAAATTGTACGGATCTAACAACCTAACCTCACCTCCACCCTTATATCCTCTTTCAGAACAATAAACTGACCTAACATCAATGACTCTGAAATATCTTCCAAAGGGGCAGCTAAGTCGATGAACCGCCGACGGTACTCCTTGACCGTGGTGGTCTGAGTAGTGGCCAACCGCTGCTCATGAAGGGTGCCCATGTTTGCCGGTCGGAATTCCTTCAAGATTCTCTTTCGCTCCACCTCCATGGCCGCCTTTACTGCTTCTGCTCCCGGGAATTCAGCTTCCCTTCAATGGCAGAAAGCTGGTTCTCGACAGCGAAAATTTGATTTTCCAACCCCGTCAGCCTTGCCTCCAACGCGTTGAGCCGTTGCGTGGTGTTGGACACCATGTCCGTATCTGATACCAAGTTGTAATGTACCGGATTTTTCATAACGTAATTACGCTAATTAAACACAATTTAAGGAAGCTTGAGTAGTTTGATTGATTAATTGGAAGGATAACAAGGATTACAAGGATAACTAATAGCTTGAGGCTATCAATCTCATGGTAGCTTTAGGCTACTACTCTCAAAGGTTTCTGCTCAATTTTTCTGGATGCCTTAACTAATAACATTACTACTCTACTTATACTCAAAGCTTCTAAGGAATACATGTGATACTTAGCTAATTTGGCAAAACCAAACTTAGACATGACTGAGGCTTGTTGCTTGTGTTCTTTAATTGCTTCTTAATTAGATTTGTCTTCTAGTGTAGAAATGCATCCTTGGTTGCTACTATTGTTGTTGACTATGCTCATGTTGGTGCCGACCCATGTTCTTGCTCTTTCCACGCCTCGAATACACCACTAAAGGTGTTTGACCAGGTTGACTTTGGCTAGCAAACCAGTCCATAACATGAAGGTACAACAGAAGGAGGAAGGTGGAAAGATCAGCACTGAGGTCTTGATTAAATGGCACGAGTTACCGGAATTTGAGGCAACCTAGGAGGAGTTTGAAGCAATCAATCAACGTTTCCCTCACTTCCACCTTGAGGGAGGGGGGTGATGCAATGAACCGGGTTAACCCACCACATGTGATACGGGTCTATGAGAGGAGGAAGAAACATCAGCAGGGAAAAAGCAGAGAACAAGATCAGACAACGACAAACATGCAAGGAACAGGACAAAATCGATTAATGCACCACTAGGGATTGTGGTGACTGCTCTGAGATTCTGAAGGCCACCACAGCAGTACATGACAAATATTATTAATTATTAGGGTACTTTTGTAATGGAGGCTGCTTGGTGTATAAATCATCAGCAATAGAACAGTAGATGTTATGTGATTTGTGAGAAGATAGTAGTGTAGAAGTAGTGTATTTCTCTCTAGTAAAATTGTAGCCCTAAGCATATCATCTTGTAGCCGTTAGCTTCCACTTTCATCAATCAAATATCCAAGCTTTCTCCTATTTTCTTTATTGCTTCATTGAAAATCTTGCACTGAGAATACAGATACAAAGCTTGTAGCAGTGTTTTTTATTTATGCTGATTGATAATGCACAGATTTATAATTCTTTGGAATGAGATTACAACAAATAGACCTGTAAGCACAGCTTAAGGCGTTATATACAACTCTCTCCATTCATAACACAAAGTTCCTGCACATTTCAATGTTAAATTTTGTGTCTTAGATTACCAATTCCAATTAATGTATGCACATAAAATAACATACAGTAGGTCATTTAAAAAAAATAGTTTCATGCTCTTATTTTTCCAAGTAATATGTTGCCATTAAATAAAATGTTCGAGTTTGTCCTTAATTAAGAAACTTGGATGCCTTGTAACATGAAATGCAAGTAATATGATTCCTAGTGATAAATAATTTGATCAAACAAACACCAACAAAGAACTAAATCTACAGTTCCCTTTCGATCGCAAACAATATGTGACATCGTAAATCAATTATAATACCTGTGCTTAGTAAAAGCCATGACAGCACCATTCAGAGGACTCCCAGGAACCAGTTCCTCCATTCCAACTGAATTCCTAAACCCATATATTGGCTTAAGTACTACAATGTCACAATCCAGATATATGCCCCCATACCTGTAAGCCAGAGAGACATGTAAAGCTGAATACACATGCATGTGAAGCCAACAAGACTTGGATTAGAAAAGACAACGATCTTGCCACGTCTCTCTTTCCATAATCTTGAATATCAACATTGAATCAGCAGAATATCAATTTGCCAACAAATAACAATATGAGCTACCAAATGCAAATCTTCATAATTCCCAAAAGCTTACAAACTAGTTATTGAATGATGTTAAGACATTATTTTCTCATGTAAATTGAGTTTTCTTACACTCTTACAATCCTACTTTTTTATGAATAAGAATAACCACGCAAAACAGTGGGAATGTATAGGTTACCAAGGAAAATTAGCAAATTAACACTCTAGATCTGAAGCTGAAGTTGTTGCAAATGAGAAAGTGATCAACATTGATAAGACTAGAAATTTATGTATAATATTGCCATGACCAGCAACCCATATCCCCAAATTAGAGTCACACACCTATATTCGACACTTCTTCAAAACCAATTATGGCCATGGTGCACCAACAGCATCACCTGTCTCATCAGTTGTTTGTCATTTTATTTTATACCAATTTTTTTAAAGAGGAACTAAATTTGTAAATTTTAAATCTTTTTTTTTTTTTACTTATACTTGTTTACTAAGTGTTTGTGCCTTTAATTAAAGTTGAATTTACCCAAATCTTTTCTTATTCAATATTTCTCCTTGTAGCACAACTAAAGAAAGCCTTAATCCTTCTCAAAATGTACACACATATTAGGGTTATTTTAAATTTGGTCTAAATGAGCCCTTTTCCACGAAACATCTTAGTTTCAGAAAACTTAATTTGCAATAATCTCTTTGTCAACTATTCCCTTAGAATAAAAATTTAATATATAAAAAGTACCTTTCATTACCCACCTTGAAACTACGATCTCTTAACCCCAAACCACCATCATCTAGCCCGAAATCACCATCACCTAGCCCGAATTCACCCTCACCAACCTGAGAAAACCCCCCAACCAACCTGAAAATAGCCTTACCACACTAAACACCAACCACTCAAAAATTCAAACCTATAACTTTTGGGAAAAAAAAAATATCAATAGAAAAACGACATTTGATTTCTCTACAATTACGGCTTTTGATGGTCAAATTCGACCGTGAAAACTTATGTTGAAATATGATCATAAAAGGTGGTTAAACAGCAAGTGGCGATCAAAGATGACAACGGCAATGTGAAGGGACGACGGCGTGGAAGAGGGTGGCATGGCAACGTGGAGAGGGACAACAATGACGACATGGAAGGGGGTGGCAACAACATGGAGGGGGTGGCAATAAACCATAAGGGTGGTGGTGGAGGAAGTGGTGGAGCATGAGTGAGAAGAGTCAAAAGATAACAATGTGATCCAAACAACATATTATATAAATCCCTATTACTTTCATTTACCGCGTGTGAACCAAACACCCCTTTAATGTTTTGTTTCTAGCATTTTATTAGAGTAATGAATGAATCCTAGCTATTCAAAGGTTTCTTAATTCCTTAGGATATGATTTGAGCAAGATGGAAAAAATAAAACTTGGAAGAACACCTCTGAATATGTGATCCCCATTCTTTACATGATAATCAATTGTGTTTATCTCTTCTTTCCAAATCTTCAAAACCTTGATCTCAGGTGTGCAAATAGGTACTGCCTCCGTCCCATTATTAAAGGCTCGTTTCTCATATTTCATTGGTTTTAATGCAAATGAAAGAAGTATAAAAAACATGTGTGAAATAAGTGGGGAATACTTATAAAGAGTACAACATTTTGTTGTTTTTTAGTGGAGACAATAATGAAAAATCATATGTGATGTAAATGTGGGCACACACCAATTTTGAAGGGTATTTAGGGAAGTTTAATATGTTAAAAGGCATAAAGTGAGGGTATAAAGGTAATTATACATGAAACAAAAATAGAAATATATTTTAGGACACCCAAGTAGGAAAACAACACTTGATAAAGGGATAGGAGTAGAATAAAATTGGTTTGGAAAAGCAAGCTTTTCAAGAGATTGCTTGGATTTTATCTTGGCTTAAGAATCCTTTACTTCTAATAGGCAAGATTACCCTTCCGACAACAAGCGTATATCAAGAGGAGCTACAGTCTCAAGAAATCACTCAAATATTACACCATCTTACAACAATCCATGAAAGATCCACCAGATTGTCACAAAAGAGAAGCCAAAAAGGCCTACTCTTATTATCACCTAAACGATATTGAAAATCAAACCAGCAAAGAAAATTTCAACTATTTTCTACTTCCAAGAGAGGGCAAGGATCTTGTACATGAGTCAATACACCACCAGAACATCCATTGCACCCAACAAAACTCAAACAGTCATCGGGTCAAACCATTCAAAAGCACACATTTGACCACTAAATATGCAGTTTGTCGTAATTGCTAAGATTCTTAGAACAACCAACCATTTAAACCTTTCCCCTTTTGTGAGACCTCTAACATTCAAATAAGACACTAGACTACCATTGTTAAAGGATATAAAGGCAGTATAAAAAGTTTTATAGGACGGAAATTTGCCAAAGACTTCCACACAGACTCTCTATCTAAGTAACTCACAAAACAACAAGTCGACCAACACAACCAGCAATTGTAATATTTCCCGCTTTATACTATGGTTTCCTTTAGAGGAAATACCATGTAAAAAACAAAAAAGGAATCCAAAAATTAGACAGTATGTAAGTTAGAAAGGTGAGAATGATGCAAACTAACAGTGAAGATTAGATGTTTCCTTGCCATTGTTCTACCCGAAAATCAGTCCTAACTCCTTTCCTCATGTTCAAGGATAATTCAGTCACATACAATCCCTTTTATTTACTTGTGGCTTTAAATATGACAATACCATACCCTATGAAAGTATGAGGTTTAAGTCCTTTGGGGCCCTCCATAAACATCTTTACTCTAGCTAGCCATGTCATCTGACACATCATATTGAGACAACTTTGTCCCAATTTGTGACCTTTAGCATTTTGCACTTATTTTTATTCATAGATTTCATCATATGTAGTATAATTATACTCTCATAGATTCTTTATTCTGCAACTGCTAGGGTATTGACTAGTAATATGTAATTGTCCTTGTTGATTTCCTTGGTAGGGATTAAGTGTTACATAAATGATTAACTTGTCCATATACTAGAGATTTTTTTTTTTTTTTTTTGACAAATTAATTAAATTTTATTGCCAAAAGGAGAGAAAAACATACAGACCCAAACTCCAAACACAAATCCATCAGCTAGCATCATAATTATATTTCCTACCTCCTAGGAAGGGCGAAAACAAACCCCTCAAACTACTTTCTAATAATTAAACCCTTAAGTTGCACAATCTGAACTTGTGAGATTGTGGCTTAAGTTAACTACTTCCTAATAGTTAATGTTGCTAAGTCTAAAGAGCTTGTTTTAGATTAATAGTTAGGTAGGCGATATCCCAAGAGGTTAGTAGGTTCATTGCAAGTAACGGAAATTTTGAATACTAGTTTATGTTCATTGGGTAACATTAAGGTGTAAGCATTATATGTTTAGTGCGAGGATCAATTGATATTGCAATGCTATAATACTTCTCCGATCCTTATTCCAATAGATTATTCAGTTTCTTAGCTTTATTATTAAGTAATATAATTTCTAACTGACATAAGATTTAATTTGATAAATCTAATTTTGAGCGAGACTAACCTTAGCTTTCACTACTACATCTTCAGGGGATTAGAATTTGGTTATTTTAGCTAGACGAGCGACTTTCGTACCATCATCACATCACAGCCATAACACTAATTTCCATTACACCAGGACTATTTTAAGAACAAGCTTCTCTATAAACAAAATGACTGCAGCTCTATCATGAGTAACATGAATCAAATTTTTTCTTAAAAAAAGATAATAAAGAAAAAACATTAAATTAATATAGCTTACTTGTATAGTGCAGCAAGTCGAATGAGTTCACTATAATGAGTAGAATAAAATCGTGTAGTCCTCCATTCATGCCAGACAGAAGCAAATATGCTTGTAGGTGTATCTTTCAGAAGTTCTTCCAAGTTTGGCATAGTAACCGCGATTTTGAAACTACTTAAAAAAAAAAGAAATTAATTAGTCAAACAATTAACAATAATAAACAGATGGAAAACAATAATACTCAAAATTATATCGTAAAAACATGAAAGAAGTAATTTAAGACACCAACCAAGATCAAGTATGGACCAACAATACCATACTGAATACGCATTACAAGGTTGTCGACTAAGGAGAAAGGTTGGAGGTTTTTATGGAGTGTTCTCGCCTTCAAACCTTGATTTAAAACAAGCTAATTTTAAGATGTGCCAAGAGAATATATAGAGGACAAGGACTTGAAAACAATACTTTTATTGGAATACAAAGAATTATTAATTAGTATAACAAAGAGATAAAAGAAAGGTGGATCAACATAGAAAGTCGTTTGAAAGTACTAATGAAAGAAAATAGAGTGACAATCCCATTGGATATCATCAAACCAGTTATAAACATAAACAGAAGCTAGGAAAGCTCAATACCACATAGAGTACCAACCAAGCAACCAAATCTCTTTAGAAGATCCTTTCAAATCCCTTTCATAGACCTGTCAATTCTAGTCAACGGGTCGGGTTCGGGTCAAATTTCGAGTCATTTGGGTTGAGTGGTTTGGATTGTTTGGATAATTACGAAATATGATCAATGGGTCAAATTGGGTCGATTTCAGTTTGGGTCGGGACAGGTTTAGGTTTTTTCTCATTAACTCAGATTTGGAATTAGATCGAATCGGGTTAGAAATTGATAGGTCTAGATGAAACCCATTCATCCAAAGGATGGTCATTTATTTTTATTTTTTTTATTTAGTTTTTTTTAATTTTTTTTTTTTTTTTTTTTTGAAGCAAAGGATGGCCATTTATGTACAATACCATAGTGATTTCTTCCAATTATTATTCAAAAAAAAATAAAAAAAAGTTTAGCATAGAAATTTTCAGGATATCAAGACACATTTAACATTAAAGGAACAAAGTTTGCTAATTTCAACCATGAAATTTTATCACTATGTAGTCTGTTATCAAAAATCAACTTTACGAAGGTATATTCTAAAACAACAAATAGCTTTATTTTCATGTAATAAGGGGTAGATTTTTTCAGAAAAATTAAGGTAATACTTTTGAATTTTTTAGGATGTTGTATTATACCACTCGTGCATTTTTGTGGTGAATCCCAATAGCAGAATTTACACAGCATATCAAACAAGATGCTCATATTTGGGAAAAACCAAAATCAGGAAAAATGTTTGATCAAAGATGTTCCATACATATGAGAAGAGAAAAAGGGTGAGGATAGACCAAAAGGTTTCTAGCCATGTGCTTGGGTTAATCAAGTTCAGTAGAATTAATTATAATCATTTATTATTTGTCATAATATTGTTATAAGTTTGTCCTTTTCCGGTACTATAACTCAATACACTTCATGGGGGAAAAAAATAGAATGATACTCCGTAAACATACCCATCTTTCAGAAACTCTTTGAAGAAATCAAGTTCAATTGTCTCTGAAAATACAACAATACAGGCATCTGGATGGTGAAAAAGCACACTTTCAAGGCCTCTCTGGTGTCTTACGGTATACATCCAAGGGGGCGAATTCCACACCATAAACACCCTGATAGAACACTTATATTTTCTGAAATAGGAATTCATAAAATTTGAAAAGGATAGATTCGGATGCAGTCCGGGGAAATATCCCCATCTTCTTCCACCAGAAAACATGGAGCCTGAAGACTCAATCTCGTTCAGTGTTGCAACCTTTTGGGCTTCTCCTTCACCATCTTTACCCAATGAAGAATCATAATCTTCTGCATTTTTTCTCAAGGATCGGTCATATACTCCTTTCATAGCATGATCACCTAACCCAATTTTATTATCACCCAGAGTTCTAAACTCATTTTTCTTTACTTCAAGATTTTTATCAAAACCAAATCTCTCTCCTTCAATACCTCTGTCCAAACTTTTACGATTCATACCACCACGTTCCTTGGCCTGATGGTCAATAGCCTCATCGGACCTAACATCTGAAAACCCAAAGGACTTCTTTATAAGTATGGGAGCTTTCTTCATCTGCTGAAACAACCCTTTTTTCACAATCTTATCTCCTCTTGTAAGTCCAGTAACTCCAAACCCATCTGGATCCTGAAGAAGTGGATGGCTCATTGTATTTAACACTTCCAATTTGGACTTAAACATCTTATCTTTCCTCAAAAAGTCACTCTTTGCATCAAACCAGCCTCCCCAACCATCCCTCAGGGGCGAAAAGTTGGATCCTAGTTTTAACAAAAGAGCATCTTCAATGCCATTTGCTTTTATCAACTTCCTTCTTAACTCCTCATCCACAGGCACATCATCTGAACCAAATGCAACCTAGTCAAACAATGATTTCCTTCTAATCAACAAAACAAAAACAAAAACAAAAGAAGTAAAATATATAAAAATGACATGGACAGCAATTTAAGGGGGCAACGCAACAAAAAATAAGAATAAAAGTAAATGCTAAATAAAACATATGATCCATTACCAAGTTTGTTAGACGAATTATAATTTAAAACAATACAGATTAATCACAAAATATTCAGCTAACCCTAAAAGGCTGCAAGAAGATTTTGCCACTGATTTAAATTGCATTCTATACTTTCAAACAAAATAGGAAACATAGTAAAAATAATTAGCTTTTAGCTATTACTTTGTAATTTTTTTCTATTATTATCAATATGGAACAAGGTGAGGTGGTGGGGGTATAATTTCAACATTAAGAAAACATCATAAAAATACATATCAAAGTTATTCTATGTTTAGTTAAAAAAAAAAAAAAAAAAAAAAAAAAAAAGGTGCTCTCTTCCCCTCTATCTCCCTCCCTATCCCCTTAATTTGTAAAACAAACACTAAACATAAAATGATAAAGATTTTAATGAATTACAATATAAATAGTATTAGATTTGTCAATGTCAAACTCAAATTCTCATATCAAATTTGTGTGATGCTTCTATCTCAAAAGAGGATCGACTCAGTATGCAATAATTAACTAATTTGATGATTAAGCTCAATTTAGTTGGTCAGTTTGTGTTTTAATGTGACTCCATATTAGTTATGACCCCCTAAACTTATAATCCTGGATCCTCCATGACTCTCCCTCTTCTTATATCCATCTCCCTATGTCCCTCATATAAGTGGTCTTTTAGGCCACTTATATAATACATTAACCCTGTAATATAGTCCTTTATCTAGCATTATCGTCCCCTTTTCTTGTAGTTTTGGCCTTTTCTCTTTACTCTCTTCACTTTGTAGTACTTTAGTTAGAATTTCATGATTTTAGATGTTTTATGCCTATTTTCCCTCTTATTTTGATCCCCTTCCCTTTTGCTAACGAGTTAATATTAGTCCTTGTCTTAGGATGCTAGGGAACATCATCATCGTGATCAAGGAACATCGCTTGAAGCCCAAAGTCCTTAGAAGTGAAGGAAGAATTGAAGAGGAGAAGAGCGGAGCACCCACTCTACACATGGCTCACCAAGTTATTTTATAAACAATAAATTAGAAGTGAAGGGAAAGGGATGGGCTGGCTGGTCGACCAAGCCGGCGCGAGGGGGTGGGAGAGGTTTGGGTGGCGGTTGGGCTGTGGGGTTAGGGTTAGGGTTCCGGCGAGGTGGTGGTGGCACGGCAGGTGGTTTTTTTTTAATTTTTTTTTTAATTAATTATGGTTAACCAAAAACTAAAAAAGTTAGCCATAAACCTAAAAATAGGCACTATGCTTAATTTTTCAAAACTTGGGTGCCACTTAAGAGACTTGGAAAAAAGTTTGTCTTCCACATAGAAAAAATGAATCCCGGAGGCCACCATGTCGAATTTCCCAAAATATTTAAGTTCGGCAAAATTAATTTCAGTTCAGTAAAAATAATTTCAACAGAAATAAGGCAAAGTGAACGAGGCCTTAGTAAAATACATTTTTAATTTATTTGGATGCTTTTTAGATAACAAATGCACAAAGACAATCATCAAGTTGACTTTGTTTTCTATTTCTCTTCAAAACTATAAACTTAAGCTCATTTGTGAGCATATATCACATATTTTTGTCATCTCTTCATATACTAAACTTATTTGTATCACATATTCTTATCATAAATTTTCCTCTTAACCAAAATCGTGACAATGGCCCCATGCTTATAACTAGTTTTCAAATCACCATATCAATCTCTTATACTAGGACCGATACAATCAATACACAATTCAAGTAGCATAGGTAATACTAAGTGACAATCATTGAAAGGTTTGTCGTATAGGCCTTGCTCTATGCTAGATTGAGCTAGTTCTAGTTTGCTTTAGGCTCAAATTTCCATTCAAATCCATATTCCCTTGTCTATGAGGATGAACGTTTTCTTATTACACAAACCAATATCAATTTACAGCAAAGATAAGATACAAGAGAAGGCCCGAGTCCACTGGAAACCAAAGCCAAGGAAGAACATTCAGAATCCTCTAACCTCACAGTACATCAGCTCATGAATACTTCCGAAAATCAGCTCATGTACACAAGCTCATTCTTTTATCACAATGGCAAGTTCTTTTACATTTAATTTCTATTCTTTTGGCGCATAATGAACACACTTTGCACCCTTATCCATAGTCTATGAGTTGACTCACTTCCATGAAAATAACCCAATAAGACTCCCTACTACCGAAAATTTCGCCAGTTTTCTCCAACCAAAGCACCCAGATGATGGAAAACAAAGATGACCACCCTGCCTAACAAAAATTCTCTTCAAAATCCCACCTTTGATTTCACAAATTTCTACATTAAACCTAAAAATTCTTCCATTGCTCTCACACAGCCACACATGCTTGACAAATAGTCATTTTGACTTTCGAGAATTCAGAAATATGACAAAAGATAATTGATCAAGTCAAATTGGATAATTATGTGAAATTTCCAAGTTATAGACCTTTTACCTTCAACACAAATACACAACCAAACAATTGAATAGCCCTAATTTCTTAATTTTTAGCTAGATTGATTGATAAATTCAACAAATTATAATAAAATCACACATATAAATAAATAAATTAATTATTTAATTATTTAATACAGAACTAACCATGCTTGCATGAGTATCATAAGCAAAGCCACAATCAATACAAATACACAAACAAACAATTGAAAAACCCAATTTCTTAATGTTTACCTAGATTGATAAATTCAACAAATGACAAAGAAATCATTCGGACAATTAAATAAATTAATCAATAAATTGATAGAGAACTAACCATGGTTCCCTGAGTATCATAAGCCAACCCACCATCAAATGGCCTCGCAGAATCGCCCCACCGATTAATATCATCAACGGATCGTGGGTCTAACGATCGACGAACAACAGAAGAAGCATGATCGAAATAATAACCGGAAGAAGAAGAAGAAATGATAGATCGATCATGGTCAATCTCTTGGATCTCATCTGAGTGAACAATGTGGGATGAAGTTGTATGAAGTGATAAGAGAAGCAGCAGCAATGTTGCCGCTATTATGGAGTATGTGTTCATCGTCGTCTGGGTTGTATCTGCAACATCTTTGATCTTTCACTTTAAAATTATAGTGATCGAAGGGGAAATTGTAATCTTAACACTGATATTTTTGTTACATTGCAATTCGGTAAATAAACCAGCTTTTAGGCCAGCCGATGATCTAAAAAAAATTTATTTTTGTTAAAAATCTTTTACCGATAAAAAGTTCTAATCCGTAATGAGAAAGTGAAAGAACATGGGGTGAAATTATAGTGGCATGCTCTTCAATACCCCTTAACTGTTAAGATGAAATGGGTTATGGGTGGCCTCATTAAAAACCTTGTTAGGTAAAATTCTATGAGTTGTCTCATTAAAAACCTTGCTAGATAAAATCCTACGAGATAAAAACCATAGCTAGAGAAAAAAAAAAAAAAAAAAGAATAAAACAATATTATATTATATGTATTGGTATATTGCCTCGTTAAAAACCTTGTAAAAACAACCTAGTGGGATAAAAACATGATCGAAGGAAAAAGATTGGCGTGCATATAATACTCCCCCTGGTTTCAACGTAGTTCATGAAGATGGTGCATTCTGGTTTTGTGAACTAATTGCTCAAATTTTATCAGAGGAAGGGATTTGGTGAACAGACAAGATTATCACAAGACTGAATTTGCTAGACATTTATTTTATTTTCCTTTTGCAGATCATGTGTGAAGAATAGTTTTGGGGATAGATGTCTTGTTCTATCTCCCTTATATATTCTTCAGTTACTTAGAAATGCATAATGTATTGTCTTCAATGATGATGGTTGGATTTTTGGTTATTACGTTCACTATGAAATCTTCTTGGATATTACTGATCATCGACCTAAGCCATACGAATTATTGTATTGCTTCTTAAAGAGCTATCAACTTTGCATGTTTCGAGGATGTTGCGGTCAAAGTCTGCTTAGTTAATTTCCATGATATTGTAGTAATGCCATAAGTGAACAAATATCCAGTTTGTGACTCGGCATTTGGTGGGTCTGATAAATATCCCAAGTATGCATACCCGACGATAGAAGCATCTTGTGTTTGGTTGATAAAATAAACCAAGATCATGTGTTCCTCTTAGGTGTCAGAGTAAGTGTCGAACTCCCTTCCAATGTCTATATGTCGATGTAATATTGTACATGGCTAACAAGTTCACAGAGAAAGCTATGTCGGGTCTAATGTTGGTAGCTAAGTATATTAAGTCTCCAATGGCACTTAAATATGGTACTTTTTGACCCAAAATTTCTTCATTTTCCTCTCGGGGTCTGAATGGATCGTTTTTCATATTTCAGAGACCGAACAACCATTGGGGAGTTGATTAGATTTGCTTTGTCCCCAAATCATTTAAAAACTCTTTCTGTATAGTTTGATTGATGAACAAAAATACCATTACTCGAGTGCTCAATTTACAATCCAAGGCAAAATTTAGTGCTTCCAAGGTCTTTCATCAAGTATTTTGCAGTTCTTTCAAGCTCATTTTGGGTTTCAATAATATTCAGATCATCAACATAAACTACAATAATAACAAATTGTGATTGTGATCGCTTAATGAAAACATAGGGACTAATTTGATTGTTCTTGAATCCTTTTCTCATAAGGTATTCACTAAGACGATTAGACCACATCTGCCTAGACTGTTTTAATACATATAGTGACCTTTTTAGTTGTATGGAAAGTAATTGTCTAAGCTTGTAGTTTTCGGTAGTTTTAGTCCTTCGGGGACTTTCATGTAAATGTTTGTATCAAGTGATTCATAAAATATATGTAGTGACTACATCCATTAATCGCATTTGCAGTCCTTTTGAGACTGTCAAACTTACCATCTTAATGTAGTTGCATCAACTATTGAAGAATATGTTTCTTCATAATTAATCCCATGAATTTGATAAAATCCTTAGGCTCCTATTCTTGCCTTGTATCTAACTATTTCATTTTTCTCATTGCGTTTTCTCACAAATAAATACCCATTTGTATCCAACTGGTTTTACACCTGCTTGTGTAAGGGTTATTTTTCCGAAAACTTCTCGTTTTTCAAGTGACTTTTAACTAAGCTTACATTGTCTCCTTCCACTTTGGCTAATCACTCATGTGTCGACAATATTCCATTGTTCTTGGTTTAGCATCATTTTCATCCGACACAATTTCAATTGCAATAGAATGAAAGGAATGGTGTCCTTCGAACAAGTGTATTATTCTGATAGAGGGTTCGAAATTATTAGAAAGCTAATTATTCAGTGAGGTCAAGTGATCGGAATGCCTACCTGGAGGCCGCTTCCGATCAATAATATTAATGCATAACTAATATTACAACTTAATCTTGACTGAACCCTTTGGGTCACACCCAATCGAGTAACCAAACTGAAATGAAGAATTAATCCAAAGGATTAAATGAGTCATTAGAGTATTGTGAACATAGTCGTCGGATTCCGAGCTTAGAGCATCGGAAACCGAGCGTCGTAAGTCGAGTCGAATTTAGGAATCGACAAGACGAGAAATTAAGCAAACAACAAGTTACAAATATAACCCTAGCCTCGGAATGCCCCGAGCAATCCGAGGGCCTAGGGTAATATAGCAAGCCAAGGCAGCTGCACCATGTCGAGCTTGCTAGCAGCGCATCCATGCTAGCAGAGCTGGTTTGTTGGCTGGTGCGGCATGGCCAGCATCACTGGCGCGCTAGGCGTGCTAGTATGCTAGCGCCTCGCACACATTAACCCACAAGCAAGCACAGCTTGCTGAGCCGTGCTGGCACATTGTAGGTTGGCAGCATATCTTAGGCGAGCTAGCAGCACCAGCCGCACCATCGCAAGGCCAACATCACGCAAGTGCTTGCTGGGCCTCGCACATGGTCGCAGCGAGTGTGCGAGCTCGCTAGCAATAGCAGGGCACAGCCACGCATAGCAGCCCACATCACTGAGGCTTGCTATTGCGGGCTGGTGCAAAGGCCTAGCGTGCGAGGTAGCATCTTGCTGGGCTGCGCCTAACACAAGCAACACAACAGCACGTAAATGCGTGCGTGGGCTGCGGGCTATGCGTGCTGGCTGCGTGCACGCACAACGCCCAGCTAGCAGGCGTAGCTAAGGGGCTAAGCCGCCAGCGAGGCAGCCTTGCGCCCAAGGCTGATAGTACCAGCTGGCGCGCATGCATTGGCTGAGTGTGGGAGCCGGTTTTGTGAGGTTTTGCTTGGGGATCAAGGGGAGGGTGGTCTCCCCCTTGTGGTCCTCACCTAACCCCTTGCTCTCCACTTGACATTTGTTGTTTGTTGATTCATTTACATTTTAATTTGATTTTAGAATAGAATTAAATTGAATAAATGCCTTTTTACCTACTCTCCCACATTTATGGGAGATTGGAATTCAAGGGCTCCTTTCCCTATAAATACCAATCATTTGGCATTGAGAAAGAGAACTTGAGTTGTGAACTTGAAAGGATCTCCACAAGCGAGAACACTTTCATTCTAATACTCTAAGTACTTTTGGTCTAGCCTCGACTAAGCTTCGAGGTAGGGGTCGTTCGGGTCGGGTCTCGAGGGTAAGAGCCGTTGGAGGCTTGCGCATTTGCGAAGCTCTATGCTTTCAAATACGAGTTCTAAGAAAGAGGGAAGCACGCATCAAGGGTATGCTCGTTTCTTTCTCTCTCTTAGTTAATTAATTATGTGGTTATTAATTAATATGCATGTTTAGTTACTTTAATTTGTGTGCGGATTTTGGGAGGGTTTCATTCCGCGTAGTGTCAGACACTACAAAACCCAACAGCGCTATCGGAGCCGCGCTCATTTAATTATTGTAACTAATAATTAATTAAGGTGATTTAAATGGATTTAAATTTCTGGTTTTGCTTTCTTATTAGATTAGAAGCTCGTTTTAATTAGTTTTAATCTCTTTTAATGCTAATTTTGGCTAAAGAACCCAGATTTCGACCCAAAAGTAGTGAATTTTGTGTGGAATCGATGTTCTTAATCAGTTTTGACTCTTTTTAAGGATTGTCCAGAAGCCAAAATCCGCCCAGAAACATGTTTTTCGAGGGGCTTTTCGTTTTTGACAAAAAAATTTAAATCTTTAAACCTTGATTAATTATGGCATGTTAATGTTAGATTATGTGTATGGTTACATCATTAATCTACTGCAATAATAACCCTTATTAAGCATGTTTATGAAGTCATATTTGGTGCTTAATTTGGTGAGTTCATTTTTCATATAAACTTGCAATTTCGTATTTTTGCAAATTAATTAGTGTGAATGTTTTATGGTGAATTTGTAATTTTGAACACCCTAAAATGTTAAAGATCCAATCTTTAATTGTTTATTTGGTTGGAACTTTACTTTTTAGATTCCATGTTGATCTAATTTTTTATTTAATCATTTTTTTTTAGTTCATTAAAGTCTTAAAAGTTCAAACTTGTGATTGAAATTTGATTACTCTTCATATTGGAAGGATGTAATTTTTCAAGTTTACACAAGTTAGAGTTGGAAAATTTTCATTGGATGATTATGTTTAATTTTTCCTACTCCTTTTATTTTGTCAAATCTCATTATTAATTTATATTTGATTAAATTAATTGTGAGAATAGCCCTAAATTTTTGTAGCATCAAGTTGAGCCCAAAAATAATTTAAAGAATGGTTCTTGAATTAATTTTGGTTTGTGCACTAAATATTGAATTTATTTAAGTTGGACTTATTTTATTTTCATTTTTGCTCAATATTGGTTCTAAAATTAATTTAAAATTAATTATTTATGTCACACAAAATCGGGATAAAATCCCAAGGCACAAGCACGCAAATTGAGGCACGAGCCCCAAGCATTACACTCGGCCAGCTGAGCTGCTTACGCATCCGGCATGTGGCTGCCGAGGAGTGCAGGGTGGTGCGTCAATGTGATGCTGCTGGTGCGGGTGTGCGCGTGAGCTGGGTGCAGAGCTTGGTGCACATGGTGCGGGGAGGTGCATTGTGCGAGGTGTGCTGTACGGCTGCTAGGTAGCATCGGCTCGCACAGCAGCAAGGGCCTTTGAGGCCTACACTGTCTAGCGTTGCAAGCACGCTGTTGTGGCCAGTATAACGCATATGGTGCGATGCTGTCAGCCAAAAACAGGCTGCTTGGCGTAGCAGTGGCTGTGCGGGGCAGCACCTACGCAAGACAGCCATGGCTCGGTGCCTAGCAAACCAAGCCTCGTTGCTTGGTGCTAGGCTGTAACACCCTAGAAATTCTTTTCCTTTAAAATAACTGTTTTTCCCTTTTTGAAATACGAAATAGGAAAATCTAAGATATTACCGCCACCGTAAAAACGACTAAGGCAAATATCAAAGACACACAACGGAAGACTTTCTTTGAAACCATTCAAAACAAGTCAACTTAAAAGTTAAACCAAATGAAAGTAAAGTCAAACAAAGTCAACCTATAGCTTGGAACCATTGTAGGCCCTTAAAACCAAACAATACTGAAAACCTTTACGTTAGTTTCATGAGCATAATAAAATAAATAATATTCAGAGCAAATAAAACACATCATATTCCTATGGAAACTAAACATGATTCGCT